TTTGGAAGAGCTCTTTGAAGCCAGCCAGGTCTTCCAGGGGTGGGGCCGTTTTCCTTGGTGTTCTCGGCCGCCTCTTGCTTCTAGTTACATTTTCTGTAGGGTCCAGTTTCTCTGCTGGAGCTTCCCGAGACACTGCAATGCCTCTGGCAGCACCCTCTGGTTCTCTGTGTGAGTGTGTGGTTTCCCCTGGTGTTTGTTGAGGCTTCCTGAGAGCTGAGACATCTTCCTGCACATCCACTTTCTGGGAAGGTGTCTTGAGACGTCCCCTTCTACTTGGTGTGTTGGCTGGTTCTGGTTGTGGAGATTGACGAGGTATGTTGGTGGGTCTGTCATCAGTCGTTGGTTCCTTGGCATGATCTGGGGTTTGGAAGAGCTCTTTGAGGCCAGCCAGGTCTTCCAGCGGTGGGGCCTTTCCCTTGGGTGTCCTTGGCCGCCTCTTACTTCCACTTACATTTTCTGATGAGTCCAGTTTCTGATGTGGAGTTTCCTGAAACAATTTGATGCTTTTACCATCATCTACTGGTTCTCCCTCTGAGTGCCTAGTTTCCCCTGGTGTCTGTGTCATTCTGCATGCTGAGAGCTCTGTCTCTACATCTGCTTTCCCCAGAGGTGTCTTGAGCCATCTCTTCCTATTGGTTGGTGTGACAATTAGCTGTGGTTGGGAGGACATGCAGAGCGTTTGGGGAGTTTTGACAACAGCCCTTGGTTCCTTGGCATGATCTGGGGTTTGGAAGAGCTCTTTGAAGCCAGCCAGGTCTTCTAGACATTGGACCTTTTCCTTGGGTGTCCTTGGCGGCCTCTTGCTTCCGTTTATATTTTCTGCTGAGTCTAGTTTCTGCTTTGGAGTTTCCTTAGATAATTTGATGCTTTTATCACCATCCGCTCGTTCTCTGTCTGAATGTCTGGCTCCCCCTGGTGTCTGTGTGGGCTTCCTGGGCGCTGAGAGCTCTTCTGCATACACTTTCCCTGGTGGTGACTTGAACCGTCTCTTTCTACCTGTTCGCC